ACTCTGATATGGGCAGGATTGCCAACCACTAGATCAGTCACTGCATCAGGCTGCCCAGGGCCCCATCCAACCCAGCCTTGAGAGCCTTCAGGGATGGGGCCCACAGTTTCTATGGGCAGCTGTGCCACAGCTTCACCACCCTCTCAGTGAAAAAATTTCCCCTGACATCTAACCTAAATATTCCCCTTTTTAGTTTAAAACCATTCACCCTTGTCTTATTACTTATTACTGTCTACCCATGAATGTTGCAAGACAGGCACAGAGAAAATCTACTTCTCTTTTTTTTTCCTTTTTCAAACCAATTACATTTCTGCAGTGACAGATGATTAGTGTTTACAATAATTCAGATATTAAATATCCAGAAGAATTACTGTTGCTTAAAATGTGGGTTAGGCAGCATTACACATAGCTTATTTGTGCTGCCTAGTAACAATTACTCTGAACACAGTGTTTAAAGTGAGAGGTAAAGCCAGCAAGAGGTAAAAGGAAGCATGCAATAAAATTTCATTTAAGTGAGGTTTGTTGGAGACAAAATAGGGATTACTACAGTAGCAGAAACTGCAAAATGGCAAGTGATACTATAGCTGAGTTCAGCACAGTAAATAATGAAAGAGACAACCTCTCTAGTCCCCTGCATCTTACTTAGTTCTGATGTCTGTAGAAAGAAAACAGAAACAATTCATACAGAGATTTGTCTAATATCTTTCAGAAGTTGATAAAATATCTCATTAAGGCACTGCACTTCAAAGCTTTGAAAGCTGTTATGTTAAATTGCTGCAGTTTCTACGGCAACAGTTTAGCAGGAATCAGATTCTACAGGAACAACCTGCAAATTGTCAATGCAACAAATCACTGCCTTGTAGGCAGAGGTAATTAGGATCCCAGCTGCTATTATCAGCTGATTGTATTTCACTTTAGCCTCCCTCACATTCTAAGAACAATCTTTCTCAATAACAAGCATTGCTAAAATACTATGTTTTCTTTAAATACCCTTACTTTCCTTCCTGAAGATCCAGGAGCTATTTAATTAGAGAAAAAGATGACTTAACCACATAAAAGACTCAGGCTGTCTAGTCCATATATAACCATTCCTACACTGCATTAAATGCCGGGACAACAGCTGAGCACTAGGGTTAAAAGTAACGTAGTGCGGTGGTTAGTGACTACTGCCATCTTGCGAACAAAACTCCAAATGCCATTCCTTTGCTCAAACCGTATCTGACTGAGCAGAGCAGGGAAAAAAATAAAATAAAATCTGCGTATGCCTGCATATTCATCTTACAGTAAGCATATGATATTCATCCAGACAAGAGATGACAAAACGAGACAGGTCCTAACGGATATAATAGAGCATTCCGGACTGCTGAATGCCAGTTGAGCATTTAGATACTGAAACCAGCTGGTCATTGAATCATAGAGCTTGGAAGGGTCCTCTGGGGATCATCCAGTCCATGCCCCTACTGAAGCAGGTTCCCTGTAGCGGGTCACACAGAAAAGCTTTCACATGGGTCTCAAATACCTCCAGAGAAGGAGACTCCACAACCCCTCCAGGGAGCCTGTTTCGGTGTTCTGTTACCCTCATGTACAGAAGTTCTTCCTCATATTTGCATGGAATTTCCTGTGTTCTAGTTTTAGGCCACCGCTCCTTATCCTATCATTACACATCAACGAGAAGAGCCTGGCTCCATCCACACAACTCCCACCATTTAGTGCTTTGTAAGAGCTGGTAAGATCCCTCCTCATCTACCTTTCTCCAGGATGAACAGGTTTCAGAATAAACTTTCTGAAGGTAGTTCAGAAAAGAACAGCTGTAAAAGTTTTGTATATTCTTCAAACTATTTTGTTACTAACTTTGCTGCCCCCTACTCCGTGCCATCATGGGGCTCTGCCCACCAAGCAGCCTGGCCTGGCTCAAGAGCAACCACACAGCAGTGTGTGATCCACACTGCCTGGGCTGGCACTGGGAGGGCACAGGACAGTGCTGACACAAGTTTCACCAAATAATGGTGTGCATTTTGATACGCTGACTGAACACGGTCCTGTGAATAGTGGAAGATATGCAGCTGTGCTGTTTTCAAAAAGGAATTTGAGAATAGGTTTCAAGAATGCTGGGGAAAAAAAATCATCAATTTTTTGCCAGAGTTATGATCCCTTGCCCAGTTGACATGAATACATTACTTACTAATTTTCAAATAGAACGTGTAAAGCTGCAATCAGACATTCAACTAACTGATCATGTCTCTTTACCAGACCTTTATAAGCCTCATTTGACCAAAGGGAATGCACCCCTTGCTTTGCTATCACACCTTATGCATGGCATTGCTTTTTGGCTGTACGTACATTTGTAAATGACTGTTTTCAAGGATGAATCACAGGAAGAGTAAAACGCCATCAAAAAAAATCTCTGATGGACATCTTAGGAGCTGACTGAGAGTTGCAGCCAGAGCCACCAAACCAGACTGATGCATTAAAAAAAAATGTCAAATAACCCACTGTTTTGTTTTTGTTGCTCTTTGTGTTTTAATAAAAAAAATATTTTAAGTTTTGTTAGTTACATACTTTAACTACATGGTATATTTTATATGCAGCCCACGACAATTCCTCCTCACTCAGAGCAGCCTGGACAAACCCAAAGGTTGGATGCTCATGTACTGAGCCACATCAAGACATCTATTAAATCCTTCCACAGAGCCAGTTGCACATGGCAGCACCAGCTCCATCTTGGATAAGAATGAGACTTTGCCTGCAGAGCAGTCTTTTTTTTTTCAACTTCAGTTTATCAAAAAGGAGTACAAGCTGTGCTAATGGTGCTGGGAGTGGGGAGAATGGGAGGGCAGCCTCTTGCAGGGCTGACTCTGCCTTTCAGCACTGCCACACACACCCCATCAAATCCAAACCCACACGTATTGCATGTTACATGTGTAGTGCCAGTTGGCAAGTAGCACAGTGATTGCCAATAATATGTCAACCCACCTACACTGTGCATGCCTGTGAAGATAAATGTATTTTGTTATGAAGCAGATACGCAAGTTTTTGTATTTAACTATCAAACTTGGGCTTGTGTTATTTTACAAAGCAATTTAATAAGCCAACATGTTCACTGTGGAAGAAATATCCAGAATACTTGCCCAGTGCTCACAAATTTTGTTATTTTCAACATCTTCAAGATGAGAATCATTTGTGCCGTGCTTCAAATCATAGAAGCATTCAGAATGAATCTTGAAATTGTGGCAAGCTCAAGCTACAACAAGTGATTTTATGCATTTTGATACACTAACAGCAGCCACGAAGGGGAGATTGTGAAGTGAAGGGTGTTTCTCTCTGGTCAGAGAAGTACGACTAGAATTTTCTTTGAATCTAATGTCTGACTGCAACTCTGTACAATCCATTTGAAAATTTGCAGATGATATATATATATTAACTGAAAATTGAGTCCCTATTCTTCAATAGCCCATGAAGCACGCAGCCACGGGGAACCCAGTAATCTTGGAGTTTCCCCCAGGAGCTCCCTCTTCAGGCTGCTAGGGATCCCAGAAACCAACCAACACATTATGCTTTTAAGATAATCCATGCTAAATTCATGCACTGCTGTCACATCTACCTCAGTCACCAAGCATAACATGATGGAAAATACAACAGTGATAGCAGAGCAGCAAGATCCCAAGCTACACTAAGTGAGGATTCACTCAAATGCAACAGCAGTAAACACAAAAAAATAATAAATAAATAAATGTTGCTTACCTTTAAAAGGCCTCAGATATGCAGAAATCTCTAGAAAAGATACTTTTGCCTACACTGCCAACCCTTAAATGAGGTCTGGGAAGGGGTGGATCCTGGCTCCACCTATTCTGGTCATTCATGTGCATTGCTGGCACCTGAGCTCCTCTGGATTGGCCCTGCCTTCCCACCAGGTGCTCAATGACAGGTCCAAGCCATGCCTTAGCATTTTTGCTACAAGGACCCAAGACAATTCCTCTTCACCCAGTGTGGCCCAGGCAAGCCAAAGGGCTGGACAACCATGCTCTATTGTATTAGTGTAGGAAACAGCTCTCTTTTCCTTCTGCCCACTTCTCTTTTCTCCTTCCTTTGAATAACATGGTTTTAACATAACAGCATCAGATCTGGTTTATTTAAAAGGCTTCTGTTAGATGACAGAAATTCCGATTAAACATCACCTTTCACATAGAAGCCTGAAGCTAAAGCTAGAAAAAAATTAAAAAAAAAAATAAAATTAAATTAACAAAAAAAAAATTAAAAAAAAATTTAAAATTTTAAAAGTAGCAACAAAATCCTTAAGTGTCAGCTGTACAACAATCCCACTGGCACATAGTATATCAAATCTACTACAGACAGTTAGAAGTCAAAAGCAGGTGATTGTAGAAAAACACCAAATGGAGCCCAGATAGCAGGCAGGCTTGTCTGCTCTGTGAATTTTCCTTTGAGTACCCTCCATTATTTCAGATGCAAGTCCACTAGGTAGTACAGATGTAAAATTGAGCTGGTGTTGATAGGGCACACTTAGCTTGACAAAGGATAACACAGCACAGAATGGCAGGAAATCTGAAAAAGCACTGAAGTGACTTGAAGTATTAAGCACCTTAGAAGTCAAATCAGAAAAATAAACCTAGATATATTTTCTCAGTCATGCAGCTGCTTTTCTAAATCTTTCAACATATTTGGCTATACCTGTGTCTTTGGCGAAGACCTTCAAAATCAAATCAAATTTTCTTAAGATAAGACTTATGACTTACAGAAGGGTAGATGTTCCTAAACTAGGATCATTTATGTAGAGGCACACAAGATCAAGAGTCTTTTCGAAAAATCACACGCACTTTCCTCATGCCCTTAAGTTCCTCGGTTTCACAGCAGTAGCGTTTTCTTCTCAGTGCAAACACAATGAATGGTGGGAAGTAGGAATAGAAAAGAGTTCTCTAATGAATCATCTTACCTGGCTAACAGCTTCTATCTGTGCAACGTATCTGTGTGCCTCCCCACAGTAAATGGTCACCATCTGCCTTTGTTCTAATAGATTCTCTTAACACATGTGGTTCTAGTAGAGCACACTGGAGAATCCCACAGAGGAGAGTGATGTTTAGGATTCCATAACTGCAGGAAAATCTTCAACCAGAGTCCACATTATTTACACCTGCCAGATAAAGCAGCTAGCTCAGCTTAAGGGAAATGAAAGGAAGGTTTTCTACAAGCAATTAATTCAGTCTCAGCAGCCCTCACTGACTGAAGACAACTTCAATCACAGAATGATCAATATATTAATTACAGCAATGGCATAGTAGCTTGTTTGTGCAAGGTGAGCACAACTCGGTGCACGTAATTATTTTTGTCAAGTCCTTTTGAGACTATTCCAGGTACATCTATCCTTATTGACTGTCTCTAGTGAGCTTGCATGGGTTTGAAGGGGTCAGCACTTTTTTCAGCACAACAGCAGACACATGCATCCCCATCAGTTATCACATCTCACGTGATGACTTCTTAAAACTCCCTCGACTTCCTCAAACTTTACCACAGTTAAAAATGCTTGCAATGATTTGGAGTGCATTGAAGCAGAGGTATAGAGACCAGTCATCTCAAAACTACCTCTGTGTTATGACCACTATAGTTGAAAGCCTTTCTAGCAGGGTAGCATGGTAGAGTAATGAAAGCTATTTCATTTTCAAGGCCTGACTGGAATTGAGACTAAATGAGAACAAAAAAAGACTACTACTACTTTCATTTGAATGTGTCCTATACAAAAAGTGGCAACAGTTCCCTCAGAAGAATTGTACTAAAGTACTGAAGCTACAGCCATTAAATGGTGCACTACTGTTCAGGAAATGCTTAGTTAGTTCATAGTGAAAAAGGAAGTTAATTGCTATCTGCAGCTAAAGTCTGTTGAGTTGACTCAAACTTGAAAACTTCTAATATTTTTTTAAATACTTGCTTATTTTTCAGTTCCTTTTCAGGAATGCTGAAGTAACAAGAAACCATGATAGGGCAATCCTTCTGCCTCGTTTATGTGTCATCTCTCTGAAAGGACCAAGCACCAGCCCTGTAGGACACCTAGAGTTGCAGGGTCCAAACTGTTCTAAAGCCAACAGAGCTACATCCAATCATAGCAAAGCTGCTGTAGTAAAGATTAACATTTGCTGAGGGAAGCTACAAAATGATGATTGCTTAGATTATAATAATGCTATCACTGTTATATCCCCTTCTAATGTATTATTCCATTTATTGTAAATGTTACTAGACATTTATTGCTCGTATAGCAGAAAGTGCTAATGGATTGCACAGCAGGGAATCAGTAATACATAAATCCCAGGATGATAGTCTCTATAAAATAAGGAGATATCATATAATAACCATCCTCAAAGGGTCGTAAGAATTGTGTTGTTTAATCTCTTTTTCCACTGAGGCCCAAGTTTGATTGTACAATAAATCCAGCTTTGGGGCTTATGGTAGCAGATAACAAAAAAACAAAAAACAAAAAACCCCACAAAAAATAAAAAAAACAAACTGAAGAAAGCTGTAAAGCCCTGAAACAAAGCAATGATCTCCTGAAAATTTATTTACAACCCTCTCAAATTGTATAAGACCTCTGACAGCTCACATTTGTTCAAAAATCTGACTGATTAACTCTGTAACAGTAACAGGCCTTACACTGAAAAAGATATCACTTGTGGGCTCTGTGCCCACAGAGTCAGTGTAAGTACTGAAAAAAATTCAGTATCACGCATCGCAGATAGTTGTCAAAGATAAGCAAACACCTTTGATCTGTATCAGATGCATGTGTCATCTAATAACACACGAGTTGAGTGGAGCAACAACCTGAGTAATTTATGCCACAAGAGATCAAATCCCCATTTGGAGCCACTCTCAAGCAGGTTGCTCAAGGCCTCGCCCAGTCAACTTCCGTGTATTTCCAAGTAAGGAGGTTCCACGCCTCTCTGGCCCTGTCCCAACATCTGCCTGCACACATTTTCCCCACTCCTTCCACAAAAAAAAAAAAACCACACCCAAAAAGATAGTATTTCTCTGAAATTTCCCTTCTTGCAACTTGTGTGCGTTACATTACCGCTGCTGCCAATTGCACAAGTCACCAGATACTTTCCCTGATGCAGAGCAGCTGGTCAAAATGCAGATTAAAGATGCAGACATGTTTTTCAGATACCATCCAAGAAAAAGTGGCTCTGTGTTACAAGGAGCCAGGGCCACCAAAGCAAAAAGAAAAATTCCCTTCAAGCAGTCAGGACTCTGACAGGCTGAGGTATAACATCAGCATCCCTTTTAGTGACAGAAAGAGCAAAGACCAACACTTTTCTGAGAGTGACAGAGAAGAGTTAAGACCTCTGCTCAGGAAAGGAGAAGCAGAATATACTTAATGCAAAATAAAGTACTTCTAGCTTACAAATTTTCATTCCAAAGGGGAAACTGACTTGAAAAATCTTGACTGCTTTGGCTCAGCAAAGGAAGAACATATGAAATTAATTAGGGATAAAGACAAATTGTTTCTTTAACAATTTCCTTCAAGCATAAAATTAAGAACATATGTTTACATATGTTCATATAAAATATCTAAACTCTGAGCACGTTAAAAAGATTAAAATACTGAAGCAACTTAAAAGTATCCCTCACTGAGTCCATTTCATTCTTGCACCAGAGAAATCATACTCAGAAGCCCTACAAATGCCGAAAGAAGATCACGAATGGCCTGGGTTGAAAAGGACCATAAAGATCATCTAGTTTCAACTGCCCTGGTGGTCAATCACTAGACCAGGCTGCCCAGAGCCACATCCAGCCTGGCCTTGAATACTTCCAGAGTTGGGGCATCCACAGCCTCCTTGGGCAACCTGTTTCAATGCATCACCACCCTCTGTGTGAAAAACTTCTTCCTAATATCTAACCTAAACCTCCCATCTCAGTTTAAAACCATTCCCCCTTGTCCTATCACTATCAACCCTTGTAAACAGCCGTTCCCCCTCCTGTTTATACTCTCCCTTCAAGTACTGGAAGGCCACAATGAGGTCCCCCCGGAGCCTTCTCTTCTCCAAGCTAAACAATTCCAGTTCCCTCAACCTTTCTTCATAGGAGAAATGGAAAGATGAAATACTGTAACATTAAGATGTCAATCACAAACACAAGTGATAGAAAAAGAATGCTTATTTAAAAATAGTTTTTAATAAAAATGGAAATAGTGAGTGTGCTAGTTAATAAGAAAAACTAGAACTTAAACATTTTTAAAATCTCTTTCACCCGACAGTGCTGCAGAGGATTTACTTTAAAAACAGTAATACAGGTACTCATCAACTTTCCTGCTTTGCAAAACCATCTTAAAGTTTTAATTAGAATTAACATTCATATTTCATATCAGAGGATGAAAACCAAGAGGATGCAGCCATTTATGGAGTATGAAGCAGACGAACACCCACAAGGAAAAACTATGTGCTATCATTGATGCTATTGCTAATCAGAAAGAACTTATGTCTTACTGAAAGGCTTTTGAAATTTGCTTTGAAGAAAAACTCTTGGAACACGCAAGTCTTCTTTCCTATTCACAGTTTCTCGGTGCACATATTCGTTGACCACTTCCTCATATCCCTCTGCCCTGAAGAGCTGAGACAAGAACTCTACAAGTGAAAAAAAAAAAACATTAGATGAAAAATTATGTTTCTGCTATTTTTAAAGCACTAGCCAGTGTTTTTATAAGCTTACATTCTAATGTGTTAGAGTACGAAAAACCACACATGCCTTTAGATTTCAAGCTGTTCTGTGCAAGCTGAATGCTGCACTTCTGAATAAAATCAATACAGGACACCTTTGGAAACATCAACTTAAGCAAAACAGCCTGAAAACTGAGACTTAAGCTAGTTACTGTTTAGTTTCCAAAACATGCCACATCTCTTATTTTTATTGAGCTTTCTCATTCTCCCTGTGATTGACACCAATGAGTTGCACAGCTGGCTTCGTCAGGTGAACACAACACTTATTTCAGATATTTCGGAAGTGATCCAGACTTGAAAATGCATCTCTGCTTGAGAAGAAACCTAAGTTACTTGACCTTCACAAACCACTGCTCAGTAGAAAAAGGAAAAAAACAGTGAAGTGGTTGTAGTGGTACCAAGTCTGCATTAAGTCAAACTGACAACATTTCTCAAACACAAAAGACCACAATTCAAAGCTTATCTCCCTTTGGGATGGCAGAAGTGCCTCACAGACAAGGTCATCTATGCAACAGAGAGGGCTGCCCACACTACTGACCTGTCATATTAGCTACAGGTCAATATCCTTCTTTTCCTACCCCTTGCTTCATTTACTTCAGGTGTGATTCCTCTGGAAATTTAAGCCATACTAAACTTTTGCTACCTGGTAGAAAACAAAGGCACACACTCTTTTTCAGTAGGTGATGGGTTTGCCAAAAGAGCTGATCATGTGGCTTAGGAGCACCAGAACTAGAAGAGGTAGAAGAGGTGATACGTTGAAAAGGGCAAAAGAGACCACCAATTTCAGCAGGAAGGCAGGCTTATGTCATCATAAGCCCAACAGGAAACCACACGGACTGGCCATAAACAGTGTGTGTTCTTTTAAGATGGAGAATCCACATTAATGAAATACTAATAAATAGCACTTACTTGTGCATCAACTGAAACTTTATATGAATAAATTGAACAGAATCAGAATTAGAAACATTTACTCCTCCCCAAATTTAAGATTATTTCTAAGAGTGGAAGAATGGATTCATTGCCATGGAGCATCAGTGTTGTTATCTGAGGTCAGATACACTACAAACAGGCATTGTTCAAATCATTCTACATAGTAATGACTTGATGTAGCAGAATAGTGCCTCTGCTAAATTAAAAAAATAGGACTGGTTGCCAACTGTATAAGAATGATGGAGTCACATTTCTAGTAACACAGGAATTCTCAAGCATTAACCAATATTTACATGAAAATTAGTAAGATAAATGCAATCAGAATGAATAAGAAGCAGGAGCAGAGGTGGTCCGTGAGACAGCCACAGATATTCCCAAGGCACATCAACAGCTCACACAACCAATGTAGACCAGTTCACTTTTTTCCTTCATTTTTCTTCACTCTCCCTATCCCAATTTTTCCTCCAAAGCACACCTTCACACTAGAGCAGAATTTCTCATTCAGAAACAATTCTAACACACAGTAAGAATGGGATTTAAATTTACATAGATAGGCCAGTTTCTTATTTGGTCCCTTTAGCATCCATTCTCTTTTTTTGAGCTAATTTGTTAAAGTGGAACTAAAAATCACTCAGTAAATAATAGCTCTGGAAGTGCTTTAATGAAGCTGTAGAATAGCCTGCATTATCTAGGATTTCATCATAGTTCTGTGAAAAATAGAAAAATCTCAGACACGATTAATGTTCTTTATTTATCAGAAGCAATTAATACATTAAGTCATAAAATTTGAACTTTTACTTGGCTTCAAATTGGCCTCTTCAGTGGCTATATTTTGCTTCAGACTAGGAAAAAAGAGCCCACAGAAATAAACACAGAGCTTTCATTTCACAATTTGACAATTACATTTGACAGGGAGAAGTAACAGTCCACTAAAGTTTAGTATGAAGAACTGGGAGTTAAGAGATGAGCTATAAACCCATATTGAGCTCATATTGAGAGCCTTCACAAATTCCTTCATGTCTCTGTGCTTCCATTTAGCAGCCAATAACCTGCAATAATTACCGTCCTTCATAAAGCATTCAGAGCACTGAATGAAAAGCTGTTAAAATGCTGTATCAAATGGAAACCCTATTTTGCTTCATCTACAAATTGTGCACTTCACTGGCACACTTCGTCTTCCACACCAAGAATAACCTCACGAATAACCTCAACAAAACTGTCACAAATATTTTTATTGAACTTTTACTGAACTTTGTTCTTTTTCCTTTATACAACAAATCTGATTGAAATCTACAAATTTAGAAACTTCTGCTCCTGTTACACGATAGAAAATACACAAAGCTTGTAAACAAGTAGCAGCTCCATAAAGTCCTGTAGATCCAATAAACAGCCTCCCATAAATAGTAACAAAAAGAGAAGACAAATGAAGTACACGACTGTTTGAGAGTCACCTGTACAAAAACAAAACTGCTGTGGGCATGTTACCAATTCTCTGAATCAAACTTAAGTTGAAGATCACAGAAAAGAAAGCATCTTACCTGTAGTGAAAAAATATGATCTTGTCCCATCTTGTCTAACATAGAAGTTTTCTCCAAGTTTGCTGCCAGATTTAAACCTGAGCATTGCATGATCATACAGTCCATAGTCTCTGAACAAGACACACTTGCCTGGTTTTAATACCTGTCATGTAAAACATGCATGCTTTAATAAGGTAGATGGATTTGTGTATACATGCTTATACACACGTTATTAAGACATATCCTAACACACTCCATCTTAACACAAGCTGTATATATTTTGAATTCATTCCTCATGCAACAAAAGCGTTGTATACAAACTGGATTGCTAGCTTTTAAAAGAATTCCTTCCCATGAACACTACAATATGGATTGCCTTCAGATATCTGTTTGGATGCTGAACAATTAAATAAGCTTTCTGCAACACTCTTCAAACACAGTCGAAAGAAAAATGTATACACTGTAACAATAAAAATGAAGTCCTAACATGGCACTTCGTTTGCTGGCTAGGTACCATCTAGCACACAATTCTGCTAAATAAAATATAGAAATCACAACGTTTTTAATGCAAGAAGGAAAAAAAGTGCAACATAAGAAAAAGAAAAAAAAAAAGAACAATTTTAGGAAAATGGGTTGCAGGTTAGGTGTTCATTTTTTTTGTTTAAACTGCTCTTTGATAAGAGAATCAAGCAATAGTTTAGAAACGTACATTCACTACCCTTTCTGACTTGTGATATTTGATACATGCAACCTTTCTACCTCAGCAATACCAGCTGTATTTGTTGGAGGAGAAAGTGAATATTTGCAATTTGCAAATTCATACAGAAACCTACAAGTGAGTTCAATGAGCCAGACATTTCCACACAGAAAACAGTAATTAGCCTTTTCAGGTGCACGAGTTACGAACCAATCTCAACTTTAGAAAATAGCAGGAGGTACATTAAAAAACAAAAATAATTTAAAAAAAAAAAAAAAATCAAACATTCCTTTTTCTAACTGATAACAAAATGAGCAGGATATCTGCTAATATAAAAGCCCAAAGGCAGACCTGCACTTATATAAAAAAAAAAAAGCACATGTTGACTATGAAACTCCAGCCAGTGTATGACTTGAGATCACCTTAGGAACATAAAACCATTTGAATTGTGACCTTTTAGAACTGCCTTCTGGATGGGTCTATGTTTACCTATCAGCCAACACAAGCAGCCCAGGGTGCTGAGTTTCTCTACGTTAATGTTAATCTCCAAGCTCTCCATTTCTAAATCATCACAGGTCAAGCGGGTTTAGTAATAACAATACATACAATAACAACAACAATAATAATAACATACAAACATAACATCCTAACTGCAAGTTTTTCCATATTCTGGAAGTCAGCTACAGTTTGCTATCATCTATACCTCACCACCAAACATTTGAGCAACCCATGAACATCATTTGTATCAGACAATGTCAAAGCCAAACTGACAGCTGCAAGATACCATTTTGTTGTGTTCATAACTTACACTAGACCAGGATTCAGAGTAAAACTGTACTTTCAAGCTAAGGAGAATATGAGTGCTTTAAAGACTGTAAAATAAAGTGTTAAAGAATTACCTTGTAAATGTTCTTCAAGACAAGATGCATTTTGTCAGGATGAATGGCAGAAAGCACAAATATAAGGGTGACGACATCCACAGAATCTGCTGGTATGTTTTCCAGAAGATCATCTTTGGTAAGATCGCACTGGAACACTTTGCATCTTTCAGTACTATACAGGGAATTTTTCTGCGGGAACAAAAAGAGCATGCTTTCACTGAAAATTAGCAGCACTATATCAAAAAAGTAAAAAACAAAAAGCAAGGGAAGCTTCCATCTCTGAGAAATGTTGCTGGTATCGCATAGCCAGAAACATAGTACCGCTCCCAGGAAACAGAGTCTTCAACGCATTCATCCATATATATGACCGTAATACTACAAGTCAACATGGAAAAATGTAGGTCAAACAATTCTGTTCTACTCTTCATATAGACAGGCAAGGGAAGCCCATCACTTGTAATTGTATAAGTTTCTAAGAATACTCTAAAAGAAGTTCCAAATATCACACCAACCTTCACATATTCAACAGCTCTAGGAGAGAAATCACAGGCATATGCAAAAATATTCAGATCTTCTTCTAAGAGTGGAAATAAGCAGTTTCCAACCCCACAGCCCGCTTCCAAAATGGTCAGTTTCTGGTCTGCAAACTGAAGTGGAAGAAAGCCAAGAAAAAGCACATCATTTTCATTTTCCTGGTGATATCAGCAGAAACATTGTTCAATCAGTATATTAAAAGCAATAATCAAGTTTAATTTACCATTGATTCAGAAATGAAAGTAGCTATCCATTGGATAACTTTGACACTACAGAAGAAGAATCTTTTTTCTTGTCAAAGTACACATCTTTTTAGAATGCATTAATATTTCTTAATTACTTGAGGAGTAGATGTCTAAACAGATTGTTGTACCATTTCTTTCTTGTCTCATTCAGATATAAGGAACAACAAATGCAAATAACTATTCCTCTCATCGATGTTCTGCAATTAGCCTGTAATTCTGGGTGCTTTTCCTTAAAGCTGTGTTTTGAAATGCTCCAACTTTAAACATCATAGTTTATTTAGGACACAGAAAAAATGTTTCTAGATTTCATTCTCAGTATCCAATTTTAAATTGATCTGATGCACCTGTTTCTGAGGTGACATCTTTGATACTGAGGGACTGCACACATAACATGTTAGTGCTCCCAAATTCATGGTTTAATTAGAAGTACTATTAAATCATTTGAAAACAATCAATCCCATCTGTTACAGAGCAAGTGCATAGAGCTCACCTCCCGACATGCTTTTAATTCTTGAAACTCTCTGGTTGTCCAGTGTCTGTCTTTGAAGAAGTTGGTGCTGTTTCTCTTGTAAAAAAGATCCCAGTTCTTCTGTGCCTCTTTTTCCAATTTCAGCTGTTTGAAGTCAGACACCAAAACCCGATCTTTTGCCAGTCTCTCTGCTTCTTCTGGGCTAAGGAGTCTCATATTATGGCCTTTTGTTTGGAAAGCACCATCTTCAGTAGAAGTTGTTACTGTAGTTAAGCAATCTGCTGATGTGTTTTCATGGAACATCCTAGAATCTTTCACACAGATACGAACACTGAAGACCCGAGGGTGATTTTCTTTTCTTCAGTGTACATTTCTTAACTTAGGTAAAATTCCTGGATACCTAAAAGCAACTGGGGGAAAAAAAAAAAAGGAAAAGTCACAATACACACTGATTAGGGCTTTATGGTAATCTATCGCACCTGACAAACTGCAAAGCCATCTGACTTCTCTTAATTTCAGAACTCTTCCATGCAAGCTAACACTGAGTATGAAATACCACTGATGTAAAAATTAAAGAAGATACTTAAAAGAATCTACAGGTCTTCTTTTTTTATTGTAGAAACCCACCTTCCAGGAGAAAGATGGCATAGCTATAAACTTCTTGCACTAAAACTGACTTAAAAGGAAAGCTTTGGTTCTTGTGAACTCCAGTTAGCAACACCTAAGACAAATGTAGCGATAAACAGGTGACAGTCTCACTCAAGAGGTAAAACAATCTGTGCTTGTGTTAGCATTTCTCCTTCCTCTTCTCACCTCAGTGAGAGAAACATCAGCATTTATAGCACCAAGTCACTTGGGCAACAGAGCAAAACCAGTATGGTGATGCCTGCAGCCAGCCTGTGTCAGCACTCCTTCCCTGCTTCTTCCCAAGTAATCATAACCCCTTTAACCATCACAGTTTGTTTTTTGTTTTGTTTTGTTTTCCCCCCAGGATTTAAGAAAAATGGAGCAATGAACAGGGCCCTGTGTAGGCTGAGGAGGGATCCAGACCCTACCCCTGATCACAGAATATCCCGAGTTGGAGGGGACTCATAAAGAACAATGAGTCCAACTCCTGGCTCCACACAGCACCACCCAAAAATCCCCAAAAAGTTAAGCTAGTTCTAAGCAAACATCCAGACCCAGGTCGGCACACTGGATTAAATCCAGGGAAGTGCAGGCAACACAAGTGTGTCAGATATGAATGCAAGCAACCCCAGGCAGGAACGAGCATCCATGTTCCAAAATGGAAGTGAGAACAAGCAGCGGCGCCTAACTTAAAGCAAAAAATAGAGAATAAAAAAAAAAAACCGCTTCATTTAGACATTTTATCATCTGTGATACGAACAGAACCACACAAACACAAGCACGAACTACAAACACGGGCAAAGGAGACAAAGAGCTGTCAGAACCCTGTCCAGCCTCACAGCACTCACACGCCCAGCCTCGCTCCAGCAGCCTCGCGCGCGCTCAGCCCTCACCCTCACCGCGCTGCCCGGCGCGGCCCAGGCTGGCGGCGGCTCCTGAGGCGCGTTACCCCGCGCCCCGCTCTGCCCTGCCCTCCCGAGGGCGGAGAGCGGGGCGGACCCTCCCCCGGCCCCTCTCCCCCCTCTCCCCTTCCCCGGGGCCCGCAGCCCCGCTCGGCCCCGCGCCTCTCGCTCCGCACCCGCCGCCGCCGCCGGCCCCGGAGCGCTTTCCCGGCTGCACTCGGCGCCCGGAAGGGCGCGGGGCGGCAGCGCACACGGCGGGCGGAGGAAAGGAAGGGACCGGCCGGGACGGGACGGGCGGGTGCGGGGCCATGAACGGCTCGGCGAACCCGCTGGACAAGGAGGACCACCTGCTGCAGCTGGGCGAGAGCTTCGAGCGGCGGCCCAAGGCCTTCTTCCACACCATCCGCTGTGAGCACCGCCCTCCTTTCTCCTCCCGCTTAGCCTGGCCGCGTCTTTCCTCCCGCCCCTCCTGCGGACGAGCCCCCTGCCTTCGGCCCCTTCCCGCCGGGCTGTGCTGGGCTGTGGGCAGAGCGATGCCCCGCCGCCCTCCCGGGGTCCCTCCCCCCTGTCGCCCCTCGCTCACTGCGGCTGTGCCTCCCCCGGCCCGTCCTTCTCCCTTCTCTCTGCGCCCGTTTCCCCCGTCAGCGTCCACCCCGTGCCACCCAGGGTCTCGGCAGGCAGTGGGGGTGAAGCTGGCGTGGTTGAATGCTGTCTGAAGTTTTCCTTGGATCCACCGTGAGTGGACGGTTTGCTGCGTGTGTTCCTTTATTCTTCTCCCTTATGGCACCGCGGGCCCGGCTCAAGGAGCCGCAGTTTGGATTTAAAGTTTGAATGGAGGTGGTTGCTGTCGTGGCACCACGACCCCTCCTCTAGTAATGTAGGTAGTAAGCCACTTTCTGGGGAAGGGGGGAGAAGTGACTCAGGCTCACACGGTGTTGCCATATATGTGGTAACTCTGAAGAGTAAGAGAAGTGTTGAGGCATGGTCTCCAGCATTAACAGTTTTAGAATAACAGGAACAATCTGCCATTAAGTCGACAGAGACCACTCCAACTGTTCTCACGTAACATTGGGAGCGTTTTGTTTCATGTTAAGGAGATGGTTTTGGAGAGGAAAGAGCTCACTGCATTCCTCTGCTGGAATTCTGTTGGCAAAAAATTGCTATTTCATGTCCTAATCATTCCCAGGGAACTGCTACTTCATCCTTGCAACCTACTGTGGGGAACCTGCTTTAGCAGGGAGTGGGGCTTGGTCATCTCCAGAGCTCCCTTCTGACCCCTAGGATTCTGTGATTCTGTAAACAGGCCCAGGGCTTAAAATAAGTAGTTAATCACCAGCAGTAAATGAGAATAATGCTGAAGTTGTATTTTGGTCGCTTTGTGATTGGGTGAGGAATTGGTACAATTAATAATAGAGGTTTTTGCTACGTGATGTGTAGTCCTGGGAGTGCAGTCCTGTGGTTGTGATGCGTAATTTGGTGAGGTCTGAGCGAGAACTGAGGGAACAACTTTCTAGGTTGAGCTGTTCCTCAAGAAGATGATCAGTGCTTGAAGCAAAGCCATTTCCCCAAACAAAAGCTTCTGCCTGCTTAAATTTTGCGTGGTTCCTCCCTCTGATCATGCATAATTCCACCATGTTGAAGAATGCTGTACCATACGTTTGGTGTATGTAGCTGTTTACATATAGCACTGAATGCTTCTTGTCAGCTCTGCTGCACCAGCAAATCCCCATTTATAAATCAAAGATTTAAAATAGCCCGACCATCAAAGGAATGAGGATGCCGTCTGATAGTGGGCGAATTAAACCCAAGCTGTATCCAGATAGCAATGCAGTGTATTTCTAGAATGTAAAGTGCTTTCATAATCAAGTTCTCCAGGGGTTGCAGAGCCAAAGCACTTCAGGCTACAACTGAAAGAGTGTGTTTTTTATTTCAGAAGAGCTTTTAATGTGCTGTATTTTTAGTCGATGACATTCAAGTGAGATCTCTTTTGATTTTCTTTTTCCTAATGGTTGATCTTGATGATCTGTCTGGGAACTGAGCATTATATCATCCCTGTAATCCTCTTCATGCAAAATGCAGTAAGAGGATTTTGCAAGCTGGATTTGTCTCTTCCTCCTTAAAATACTTTATTGTTTTCTGTGACGTTTATGAAATCCTGTACTGAAAAACTGGGTTTGGAAATGCATCTAAAAATATTTGACTTTTGGAAAAAGGATTGGGTTTTACAGCTGAAAAGACATACGTGCACTCCATCTACAGCAAAACTAGCCGAGCATGCATGCCTAATGAGCTTTCTGAATGAAAGCAATTTGTTGTGTGTTTGCTTAGAGTAAGCATATTTTACTTATACCTAAGAAAGGAGCATCATAGTGCTGTGTTTTTTCATTTAGTGACTGTGCCATTGAAACCCTTGATCCCTTTTTGGCAAAGACTGCAGCTCATCTACAGCTGTTTTGTTTTATTTAGCAAGCTTGCACATAAAGTAGGTGGGAAACAATAGCTAGAAATAGATTGCGCAGATGAATATGAAAGATGTGATTTGGTCTGGCAGTTAAGGCATGAGGATTAAGTCAAGTGTGCCTGATTCTGCTTGTTGTGCTGTCAAAGTGAAACTCAATTAGACATTAACGTCCCCTTAATGAGAATTTATTACAAGCTGTTTTCTTTCCCTGGCAAATGTGCTTTTCATAGTGCAATTGAAATTTAGTTTTTCTAAGATATTGATGTCTTAACTAATGCAGTAATTAAAAGTCTTGGTTGCAAATGTAACTGCACCTCTTGTATCCAGAGATGCTAGAATCGTATGGATGCCTGTTTAAAAGAAATACTTAGCTGTCTGATCTTATTTCATTTTGTCTAAATCCTCTGTCACAATGTTACAGGTTTTCATGGCTCATCAGCATGACAGAATTACAGAGTGGGAAATACTTTGAAGTTAAAATGTTCTTAGTTCAAATAAATATGCTAAACACAAACGCATTACTTGGGGGAGAAAGCATTCCATACAGTGTGGCAGAAATTATTGAAAGTGGGGCTTTGTTTAGAGCAGCAGCAGTGTCTGACCTCAGTTATGCTCTCCATTCTCCATCTACAGCAGTTTTGGCCTTGTGTGGAGCCTGGTGAAATAACACCAGCACCTTTTCTTTCCCATAGATGGGAGCTAAGTTGTCCTCTCAAGTGGGTGTTGCAAAGGCAAGATGTCTGTTAGTAGTCAAAAATATCAGTGAGGTTAAATGAGCTGGTCTCACTCAATTAGCCTTTGATATAGATGGAGTCCTCAGGTTTGGAGGTGGCAGGAGCCATAGAGTCCTGGGTCTGGGACGTGATACTCCTATGGGATGCTTGATACAGTTTTACACCTGTGTGCAACATCAAACATCAGGAGGAGCCTGCTTTTGGTCTTTCAGACACAGTCTGGTAATTTACTTCCATTTTTAAAAGAGAATTTTACATCTTTTACCATCAGGTGGCAGGAGCTGTGAATATGAACAAGGTTATACTGGTGTACTGTTCCACCACTGGTGCAAGCCACTGTGTATTTTAGCATTTCCTGTAGCCACAATGAATGTGTGGTGCCTTTTTGCCGAGGAGAATTCTAAAAGCTCCAAATTCTGAAGATTCCAAGAGTCATAATCACAATTGTTTTCCTCCCTAGATGATTTTAAGCCGGCATCGATTGATACGTCTTGTGAAGGCGAGATCCAAGTGGGTAAAGGAGATGATGTAACAATCACTTTGCCACATATTCCGGTAAGAATGCTGACTGTGGTATTGAATGTATCCCCATTATTTGCAATGTAATTGCAAATTTGCAATGTAATTCTGTTCTGCCCTGTATGTTATCTTTTACTTCAGACTCTTGTTGGAAGAGGTGGGCTCAGTGTTTGAGCAGCTAGAGTTACAGCACGTTATGCGAGGAGAGGACCGTGCAATTGAGTCTGTGTTAAGAGTCTTATTTGTAGGGCTTCGGTTGGTTCTTTTGATTAGTTCCTTCTTACTGTTACTTGTATAAAAGGACCACAACTTCTTTTAGCTGAAGCTCTCTACCTGATTTCCTTCCATTTTTAGTGCTACAATGTAAGGAATAGAAGCGAGTAACTGTGGGTTTAGTCAGGATGTGCTGTTCAGAAGCTGAAGCTGGGCCTGTAGCCTTGTTTATTTCCTACATGCACAGATAGCACAGATGGTACCCTGCCTCTAGCTTTATCAATGGGACAGGGGAGAGTTTTCTAGTGAGCAACAATGAAGTAGTTTCCCATCCACTTCCTCCTTAAATTATGCCATAAATATCTACTTGATGAGACTGATGGTCAAACAGTAATAAAACAAGTGTTAAAACTGTTTATAGATGTAGCTGTTTTGTCGTTGAAAGCTCTGTGGTTGCCTTACCAAAACAAAGCAAAAAAAAAAAAAAACAAAAACACTTGCATGCTGGAACTGGATTTGTTTATTAGCTGAAAATAATGCTACGTGTCAAGCTAATAAACAAAATTCAGAGATACAGATAAGTTCGGTGATAGCAGGGCAACACCAGTCACTTTGGAAGCCACATCTCAGATTCTTGTGGGACTGTTAATTCTAGCACGTTGGTATTTTTAATCAGTAGCTGTTGGTACTGTGGTAATACTGCTGGTGAATAAGGCTTTAGCCTGCTTCCCCGCTCCTGCCTTTTATCTGGCTTTGCTCACGTTTGGAAGTTTGCCTGCTTTCGTTTGTGTATAGAAGTGGTGAGCGCAGTAGTGCTGTTTGGGAGCAGGCAACGATGTGATTAATAGCCATGGTATTTACTTTTGATTGTCTGGCAACTGTGCTGTTCATTCAGATTTTGTATTGAACAACATTGCTTGTAATGCCCCTTTCCAAATCTTTCTTCTGATGAGTTTAATTTGATTGTATTCCTATGAGTGGCTTTCAGCTCACAGTGTGCTCCAGAGGGACGGGACCTAACTGCAGCCACTGAGTGTCTGTTGTTCCACAGAAGCACTGCTTATGCTCCTTAGAAACATGGAATATAATAAGAGGACTGAAAAATTCTGAGGTCATTTCACTCTGACAAACTTTACAGAATTTCTTGGTTCCTGCTTTGCTTCTGAGATGCATGCCAGCTGGATGCAGATTCTAGCTTGTTTTTTGAAATTGCCCGATCCCTGAGGATGTCTCTGTTTGATGATTTGTTCAATGGAGTTGGTTTCGTGTCCCTTGAGTGCTTGGGTAACTTGAAACACTATTTCTACTTGTGGATTTAGCAGCTTTCATGTTTGATAAACAGTCATGTTTGGAGAAATGAAGAATCTCTGTTCTCAAGCATGAGAGTTTAGCAAACAGCTCTGGTTATTTTACCTGCTTCATCTATCTTCTTCTGTGCTGTAATCAGCAGGATCTGGAAACCCTGTGTTAGGGATTACTTAGGTAGGGCTTAAATCTCTGCTCATTTTTCAGCCCAAATTAGAGTCTTTTGTGAGCTTAGAGATCCCTGGTTCATAGAGTGGTGGGCAACAAACTTTGATCAGCTTTTGTTAAATTTGTTCTTTGTTTCCTGATTTATTTATCAACAGGGAACAGGCTTTGACTTTCAACTTGCTTTTTATTCCCTTAAATGTTATTTTCCTCGCTTAAATGTAGGAGTGATAAAAATGTAAAAGGCCTTTGAAGATAAGACTGTCATGAGACTTTGATGTTTTCTGAATTGTACCTGTACATCTTACAGTATCTTTGTTGGAAATTCTCCTTTCTCGCCCTTAATGTTCAGAAGCCATTTTAGATGGAAGCATATTCTATTTATTAGCAATGTTGGGAACAGGAATTTCATTCTGAATTGATAACATTTGATTGATTTGCTTTGCTACTCGGAATAAAATTTATTCCTGATTTTGTTTGCTTTCCTGCCATTAATGTGCAAAGATGTATATGAATAAACATTTGTAACATTTCTCTTGTATTGAATAGCTAGGTGTGTATTACAGTGAAATCTGAGGACTCGTAGCTGAGAACTTCTTTCAGTATGTCTTGTAATGTCCTGTTGTGATGCACATTAACGGCAGGAAAGCAAACAAATGTAAATAATGGCAACTATGGAGAAGGTGTTTCATCCCTGTTTAGGCACATAGAATGATGAAAGGCATAATGTTGCTATGAGGAAGCTGGTTCTACTGCATTAACTGTATTTTTCCCTTTTCATGAAAGAGTATTTTCAGTAGGAACTAACAATTATCTGCTTAGCCCCCTAGTCAGAAGAAACACAATCATTTGCCTTAGTATTTATAAACTTTTAGATAGGGAAATGTAACCAAACAAAAATGTGCTCTTTCTTTGATACCAGGGTTCAACTCCTCCAATGACTGTTTTTAAAGGAAATAAAAGGCCGTATCAGAAGGACTGTGTGCTTATTATCAATCATGACACTGGGGAGTATGTTCTGGAAAAACTCAGTAGCAACATTCAAGTCAAGAAAACAAGGTAAAGCTGGTGACTGGGCTGAGTTAATAGGATGAATTCTTGCTGAAGTTTCCTGCTCAGATGGTGTCTTTCAAACCTGAACTCGATTATCTTTTATTTTGGAATAATGTTTGCTTACTAAACCTTATCAGCTTTACACAGCCAATTATCTTGCCTAAAAAAAACAAAAGTAGCTGTTGGGAGCATAAATCCAAGAGTAAAGAATTCGTAAATTTTCCACCGCTGAAAGGACATAATTATAGTTTGCAGTGAAGCATCTCTGACGATTTGAAGTTTTTGAAGCTGGCTGAAAGATGGAATGTGTTTCAGGAATCTCTGGTTAGTTGAAACAGATGATGAAAATAGTAGGCTGTCAAAAGGATTGTTGTGCTTTATGGGCTTGTTCCCTACAGCTTCTGTGGGAGTCATGATACTTTAATAACATACTATTAAGGAGCAAGAAATGCTTATCACTGTATTGGATCAGTGGCACATTGAGTGGAGCAAAAGTCCAAAGCTTCAACTTGAAAGGGGAAAAAAAAAAAAAAAAAAAAAAAAGAAAGAAAACTGAAGAAATAATGGTTGTGGGGTTTTGCCTGGAATTGCCAAGGCCAGAAATCTCTCTGACCCAATATTCAGACTTGTGCAAATGCTACAAAGTGAACAGCTGGAACGTTTTTAGTAGTCTTGCTGTTCTGCAAGTGCCTGAAACCTTTGGATTCTGTTCTTTCAAAGCCAATGGAACACAGGATATTAAGATCTAAAAGCAGTTTCCTGAAGAAGCAGATCTTAAACAATTCTACAAGTATGTTATGTTTTTTTAAAGAAAAAAACACTTCACTGCGCTGTCGAGCTTTTAGCTGCTACAAGTAATAGGAACGTGGGTTGCAGCTTATTAGGAATTGGATGGAAGTTTGCCAAAAACCACCTTGAGTTAAAAGTAAATGGATTGTAATGCTTCTCTGTGTCAGTAATGGTAACTCATCCATGTGTCACTCAAAGGCAAGACGTCTTGTCCACTGGATAGGAGTGCTTACAGATGAGATTTAGATTCCCAACAATTTAAATTCTGCTGATAATTCCAGATGAAGCTTAAGGCGGAAAGGAGCCAAGGAGTACCAGGAGAGCTTGTGTTCAGTATGCTGTTTAGGATACACTGAGTTTTGACTCTGTTAAGGTTTAAACATTTCAGCTTTTCTTAAGCAGAGGCAGGGGAAAAAAAATTGGGGATCTATGTTTTGAGGAATGGTGATTTTTTTTTAATTTTTTTTTTTTTTAAGTCCTTCAGTATTCTATCTCAGAAGTGGCTTTTTTTTTTCATGGCTGCTTGGATTTTAACAACCTGTGGACAGTGTAGGAGCAGAGTTTTTAGTGTGAACATCGTGATTACATTCCTAGAGGAGAAACTGCATTTTGTCTACGTATGGTCTTCTGTAGTTCTAAGAGCATAATTAACACTGGAAATGGTCTTTTGCTTTTACCTTTCACATGAGGTAGTGAGCATGTCCCCAGATCTCCACTTCTACTCTAAATCATAGAACGAATCATGAATCATAGAATGGTTTGGGTTGGAAGGGACCTTAAAGCCCACCTGCTGTGGGCAGGGCAGCCAGCCATCAGACCAGGCTGCCCAGGGCCCCGTCCAACCTGGCCTTGAGCACCTTCAGGGATGGGGCACCACAGCTTCTCGGACAGCTGTGCCTCGCTATCCTCTGAGTAAGAATGTCTCATAAATGTCTATGTAAAGTGTACTGCTGTCATACGTAAAGGCTGCATTTCAGTAAGGAGGAGGTGGCTTTGTGCCTAGTTTTTGTGGCTTCATCGGTGATTCACTGTGGCACACACATTCTTTAATTAGTGCTAAATGCAGTGGGTCAGATACCAGAAGATGTTTAGGTGAAGTCCCAGGAAGTTCCATATGGGCTAGTTTAACTTGTTTCTGTGTGGGAAGAGCTTACAGGCACAAAGTGTCACGTTATGGAGCTGCGACCCTCTTGAACCAAAACTGAGCTCTTATACACATAAACTGTTTCCATGCTGTGCTACATAGAGACATATTCCCAAAGGCTTTGTTGCTGTGTGATAAATACACTCCATACTTTAACCTCACTGTAGTGTGACACAGAGGGACCTGAGTATGTTTTTTCTTCCAAGGGTATTGACTGTTCTACAGTCTGAATAACGCCATTGATTCAGAAAAGGAAATAACACCTGATTGGGATTGATCAGCTAAGCATGGCATTATCCTGTAGACAATTTCCCACTAAGGAAACATATTAAACGGGGTTTTTTTGTGTGGTTTTTTGTTCTTTTTTTTTTCTTTTAAGGGATAATAGTAAGTGAATGAAAAATGAGAAATAAATGCTTTCATGCTGTATTTATCAGCAAAACAGATTGCTCCAGTCAGGTTGACCTCTGAGAGAGTTCAGTTTGAGAATGTACAATTGCAAGTGAGAAAAACATTTATTTTGCTGTGGTAATGTTAAGCAGGATTTTGTTATGAATGATTTTTTTTCGTATGGTCGATTTAAACTGGTGTGGTTGCTGATGCTTTTCTAAAATTACAAATATTGATTGCTAAATGAAAACCTTTATTATTCTTCAGCTTGCGTGTCTCAGTGGTGCCAAATTCACCTGGGTTTGAAAATGCATTTTTTAAGGATGTTGCAGTAGGCATATTTGCTGCCAAAATCATGTGTTACATACAGAAACCTGTCACTCACTGCTCAGCTTAATAAAACAACATAGAGTGCTGTTCAAAGGAAGTCACACATCATGCATTAGCACAAGGATATTGAGAAAGCTGAACACAGATGCACAGTAGTGCTCAATGTCTCTGATTGTTGTTTCAGAGCAGAGGGCAGCAGTAAGATCCAAGCCCGAATAGAACAACAGTCTGCCCGAGCATCTCAACCTCCTCCACAGTTCAGAGCCCCAACCAAGCCAGCAACTGGACCTAAAACTTCTCCTTTGAAAGATAATCCTTCACCTGAGCCTCAACTGGATGACATTAAGAGAGGTAAAGAACGGTGTGTGACTTCTGGGTTTGGATTGTTTTTCTTCTTTTTAATAAAAACTCTGACTTACAATGTATTAAAACGTGTTAGAATGTTCAGGGATTAGAAGCTGGTTCTTTACAATTGGTTTGTTATCTTATATGTCATCTTAAAGGTGAATTATCTATTCTCTTCTGCCAGCATATAGCTATTTATACTGCAGTGTTTTCTGGTATGAGAGAGCTTCCTCCTTGTAAATAACTTTCTTTCTTCCAAACTATTTCTCTGATATGGAAAGACAACAAAAGAAGTGTGAATTCAGAAGGTAGAAGTTACTGCAGCTGAATGCTAGACGGGCTGAATGGGTGTTTTAGACAACGGCGACAGCTGCTGATCCAAGATGCAGTGAGGCAGTCAAGTAGCTTGGGGTTAACCCTGTGTAAAGCAAGATCAGAACCATTTAGCAGGAAGGCTCAGTGACTGTGTCCTCATTACAGGAACTGGAGTCTGTGCCATGTCAAGCAGTGCTAGTAGGGGAAGGATGAAGGAGAGAACAAGCCAACTGCTTCCAATACCATGGCTCCTCTGTAGCTTTTATCACACCTGCCATATAGTGCTGTACCTGCTCTTCAAGTGTCTTGAAGCACTTCAAGGGACTGTTGCCTCAACTGTGTCTCCTTCTTAGGCAATGTATTGTCTCAGTGTTTCACTGTGGGCTCACTTTCTTTGCCCAAGTCCTTCCTTTCATGCTGGAGTTATTTTGCTGCAGTTAATACTGTCAGAATGAGGAAGATCTTAAATTGTGATTTTTGTTTGGTTCTCTTAGGTTACTTATCTGGCACCAGACACAATTACATTCTTTTTAAGGCTGTTCTTTCTCCTAGTGTTTTCTTTTTGGATCTCTTCCCTTATCCCATATAGCTATTTTTGCCTTTAGACTTAGCCTATGTCAATTTCCCAGTCTGTGTTGATTATTAGTGGGGCTTTTTTTTTGTCTTTTCAGTTCTTGATAATCACTAAGTGACACTTTTACAGCTGAGCTGTCTGTGTGTCTGTATAGGTGCTGACTGGTTTCACTCTTTCACAGCAGTAATATTTTCAATACCTGGATGCTGGTCAGCAGACAGAATCGAAGTCTGAGAGTTTGTTAGCTACAGTTCCCTTAGCTGCATTGCCATTTTTATTTCCCGTGTAATAGGTAAGGAGAAAGCTATCAGGTTATATATCAATTTAAAAACTGAATCAGTTGTAAATTTTAAGTGTCTTTATATATAATGTATAATCAGATACTTAAAATAGGGGGGGGTGCTCTTCTGCATATACATGGCAATTTGTAAAGGTCATGTTTTTACAGCAGAACAATTACATTTGTCTGCTGTGACATCTGTACTGCAAAAACTATTTTCTAGCAGTCTAAAATTATGTCACATCATTCAGAACTGTTATAGTTTTGGAGTTTTTTGCCACGTGATTGTCTTCTGTTGGAAAGTACCTCCAAACAAATGATCTATTGAGTTTGGTTTCTAAAATCAAACTAAAGAACACCTGACTTGTACTAAAAGTAGAGTGTTGAATTGGTATTTCATAGAGAGAATCTTTAAAGGCTGAAAAGAAAGAGGGAAAATACCTGGGCAGTTTGCTTTCTGCTTTCACTATGTGCTCTTTCTATTTTTCTAAGCATTTCTCAACCTTTCAGCACTTACTATCACTTCCACCATTGATTATCTAGAGCATGCCTGTCCAACCTTTCAGTTTGCCTGGGCCACATTGCATGAAGAGGAATTGTCTTGGGCTGCATATAAAATACACATATAACATAGTTAATATTATATAAGTGAAAAACTTATTTTATTTTTATATATTTGTATTAAAACTAAAAAGGGCAACAGAAACATAAAACTAGTGGATTTTATAAAACTACCTTCGTGGTGTGAAACTAATGCATCAGTGTCTGGTTTGATGACAGTGGTTGCAATTCTCAGTGAGTTCTCCATGTGTCCATCACAGATTTTTTTTATCTAATTTTACTCTTCCTGTGCTTCACCCTTGAAAATATTTGTTCACAAATGTACATACAGCCAAAAAGCAATGATGTGAACAAGGTGTGACTGTGAAGCAAGGGGTATTTCTCTCTGATCAGATAGAGCTTATGAAGGTTTAGAAAAGAGACATGATCAAATTTTGTCTTCAAGTTGAATGTCTGATTGTAATTCTATGCATTTAATTTGAAAATTCACCAGTTATATAATTCTGTTGGTTGGAAATGGAGTCACAAATACACACAAACACACAAAGGTGTTTGGTTTTTTTTTTTTTTGCAATCTTGAAACCTATTTTCAAACTTTTATCAAAACAGAAAGCACAGCTGCATATTTTTCAGTGTTCTCAGGACTGTGTTTAGCCAATATATCAAAATGCATAAAATTATTTGCCATTACTTGAGCTTGCCATAGTTTAAGTCTCATTTGGAATGCTACTGTGGTTTGAAACATAGAACAGATAAGCTGGTTTTCACCTTGAAGACACATGTCTAACTCATTAAAATGAGCAGCCAAATCCACACCAAAAAAAAACCAAATCACCCAACTGTTTCATACTTTTTGTGAACTTTTTGAAACGTTGAAAATTACAAAACTTGTCAGCACTGCATGAGTATTGCGGGTATTTCTTCCAAAGAGAACATGTTAACTTATTTAATAACTTTACAAAATAACACAAGCCCAACTTCAGTAATAAAATAAGAAAACTTACATGTCTGCTTAATAAAACACGTGTCTTCACAGGCACACACAGGAGTAGGTGGGTTAAAACATTGTTGTGGCCAATGACTGCATTATGCCAAGCAGCACGACACGTGTCATGTGCAACACATGCAGGTTTCAGTTCACCCGTGTGTGTGGTGGTGCAAAAGGCAGTCAGCCCTGCCCTCTGCCCTCTGCACTGTTCCACTATTCCCTGCTCAGTTTGTGTTTGAGCCTCGTGCAATCGACTCATGAGAAGTATCTCTAAAAATCAAAGAAAAACATTAGAAGTTTACAATCTTATGGGGGCTCGTTACTGGCTGCCCCAGGTTGTGTGCAGCCTGTGGGTTGGACGCACCTGATGTAGAGCATCAGCATTACTAAACCATCTACTAATGAGAAAGTACTTGGCAAAGGTAGGGCTAAAGTGGCACCATTGTATAACAAAAACAATTAAGAGAACTTAAATGCAGAAGCTGTAAGATAGTCTCCAGTCCTTTGATGTGTATCTTTATGGTTAAAGACTTTTAAGCTGTGAAAAGATTGTGATCTTTCCGTTCAAGCAGTGGCTTTTCCTGTGGTTGAATTAACTCTGGTGTATGAAACAACAAACGTAAAGATGAAATTCTATGCTTCTTCTCTAATGGACATAGCACAGAACTTAAAATCCTCACAGGAGGTCATTGAAAACATTGCTGTGGCACTATGACTCTCCCTGCTCCCAGTATGCCCTATTCAAGGGTGTGGTAAGACACAGCCCTTGTGATGTTTAACAGTAGTTTTAAGCCAAGCCCACTGTAGGTTTTTGCTTACCTCCACTACCCTCAGCTGTGCGTTCTTTCAACTCCCCATAAGAATGAGCTGACTTCCAGGTGACTTCCAGATGACTTCCAGGTCAGTCAGTCCTTGCATCCATCCTTTTTTGCAGCTGTCCAAATAGCAGTGCTTGAGGACAGAGGCAGAACACATGGCAGTTAAACCAGTCCTTTGTGCAGGCAGAGAGGCCTTTGGGAGGCTGTAGGGTCCTGCACTAGAAGAGTCTTTTGCTGTGCAAGCTTTTATCTTGTCCTCCTGCATGAAAGGAGGAACAGTGAGGGTAAGAGCTTATTCTTTTGAATACGTGGCTACTTATGATCAAAAATCATTAAGCAGTGAACATTTGCAAAAGTGCAACATGATAGCCATTTGTGTACATGAGATTACTGGCATTCATGAGACGTATTTGACCATGGCAGAGATGCTTTAATTAATATTGACATAATTAAAGCACGCATTAACGAAAGAACCACATAAACGTATATCTGGTTTGGAAACTATAGATTCAATGCTTAAGAATCTGAGCAGGTATTATTTATTTAAAAGGCAGCTGTAGTCTTGTAAGTATTATGCCACAGAACAGTATTTGTCTCTCAAGGACTTCTCCACCAAAATTGTTGCACTTCACTGTGAAGTACTGCCTCTTCTAGCTGCCATCTCTGCATATTCAAAATGCCAAAATCAAGTTGATTTCTCTCCAGCTTGCATACCATTATTAACAGCAAGTATTCTGCTATGAACATACAGCCTTATTCTCCCTAATGCTGAGTGACATTATTTCCAAAAGCCTGTGGTAGTCTTGCAGCCCAAGGTTAGGGCTTTAGTTAAAAATCCTGCGTGGCCTATTTGTTTTGAATGAAGAGGCAAGAACCCTTAGCCACAATTACTGGAAGAGATTAGGGCCTTTGGTATAAAATACACACAGAAAAGAGCCCTGCTGAGAAAGGCTGTTGAATTATTATTTTTTTTACTTTTAAAAACTGCATGGACTGTCAGTATAAAACAGTAAGCCATTTTCTTTTTCTGAAAGTAAACCTACAGCTGTAACATTCCAGATGCAAAAGATTCCCCTGGCAATCTCAGCCTTTTCAGATGATGTAGATTCAATTAAGGCAAATGTTCAAAAGTACACTGTGTGAAAAGCTTTCTTAAAGCTAGCTGCTGCACATCCTGACTCTTGTCATCTTTTAAGCTTTAAAGGCTCATCAGCATGAGGAGCTTGATCTTGAGGAGCAAAAAGTGGTCTAGGAAAGGTCTGATTTTTTTTCATTGCTCAGCTTAGTTTATAGGTACAGGTATGTACACGCATAGCTATTTCAAGTGGAGGCATTGCAAGGAAGCATTTAGCTGAGGCTTCCATACCTGTAACTGCACTAAGCATGACAGGCAAATTGAAAAATGCAGACTCTGACATTTTTAAAGCAGGCCATTTTTTCCTGCGAGATTTTGGGGTCATCGTTGGCTCAGCCACGTTAGTGTAAACAATGACTTTTTTTCTCATCTTCCCAGAGAAAAGACATTTAGAATTCTAGACTCAAGGAGCTAAGAGACAAGGCACCTGGAAGGAAGTAGAACAGCCTCTCTGAGGCAAATGTTGATTAGAAAATGGCGTTGAGCTGAGTTTCCATCCTTAACCACTGTCACTGATAACACACGTACCTTTGCAGTCCTTGCCCTTCATGGTGTTGGTGGTGTTATGATTTATCTGTGTGTGTACTTTACCTTACCGCTTCAGCCAAGATGACATCCCTTTCCCTCCTTGTATCCAAAGCTCTCATATGGGTTTTTCCAGGTCTCTTCCTTCCCAGCAGAAACCCCCCAGTGCTGCTACTCATCTCTGTGTTAGCTAGGTTAATTTTATTTTCCCAACCACCAGCTTGCATCATTTCCCTCCTTCATTTCTCCCCTCACCTACCACACTGAGTTCAAACTCCTTGCTAAGACTTTTTGTTTTCCTTCTTTAGTCTCTGGAGAGCACTTCCTATTGCATCCTTTCCCTTTCAACACCCATTTCTCTTGGATTGCTTCACCATCCTTTTCTGATTCTTATTTTCCCACTGTTTTGTAAGCTGCTTTCTGGATTAGTATGTTCTTTCCAGTTCTACATACCAAGACACTCCTTTTTGACCGTAGGCTCTACCTCAGTAAGTACTGTAATTCTCACTCATCTTTCTACAGACCTATTTATTGAATCTTCTTGCTTTGTGGACTGCAGTCTGTATGTGGTTGTGCTTGCTACAATCCAGAATATTCTAGCAAAGTGTTAGCAACACTGTAACTTACAGCTAATGATTCTTATCCTTATTAAAAGTATGCGGAAATTTCATATTGTGAAGCTAGGAAAAAAATATTTAAAGGGAAAGTGCTTTTATTCCTGTTTACTTCTCCCCTATGTCTTTCTTAGCCTTGAACACAGAGAACATTTATCATTTGAAATATTAAATAAGGGTAGGTAAGAACACCGACTTAACAGCACTAATTTTTACATGTAGCAGATTCCAGCCATGAAATGGATTTGTAAAGCTTGTAAGACTCTGTTGGGAAGGACTGAGAAAGTCATTACAGTACAAAATAACAGCTTCTGTTGGCCTAATTGCATATTTTTCCCCCCACTTCCAATGGTCTCTCATGCTACGTCTTAATGATGAAAAGGTAAATTTTGCCTGGCATACTAATAAAGCACAAAACCCACAGTTGATCTAGTCGGGGATCTCACTTCAGGAAGTAGACTTGAGGAACAACCCCATTATCACTAAATACCCAGCTGGAGTTAGTAATACAGTTGTTCTCTTTCAATATGCCTTCCTTGTCTCTAATTCAATATAACTATAGCACTTGAAATTGAGCTCTGAACTTTGAAATTGAAAAGTAGCAGCTTCAGAACAGGCAACGGAAAAGTTAATTTCTGAAAGCAATACCTGCTGAGCTAGGGGAACTCCTGCCAGCAAATTATGTGGAGGCTGAAAACTTAGCTGTTACACTGAAGTGTTAAGCAGCCCAAGGAAAACTGATCTTATTAAAAAACAGAAGAGTTCCAGTTGTTCGCATTTACTTGTGCGTGGTCTGAAGACAGTAAGAATTAAAGCTGTGCCATTTTTACATGAAGGAGGGACTCGCTTTGTATGCTCTGGCTATGCCATATCAGAAGATGTCCCTAGCTCAGGAGTTGTGCTTCATCTCAGTCTGAGTAACTTTCAAGACTGATCTAAGGTAAATTACTCCTAGTGTCAGTTCTCCATTTGTTGGGTAGGCACAATTGTGTTTATGTTGTCTCTTCTTTCATCCTTTTTTCTTTAGCCCTTAAGTTGTCCAGGACAAGCACTGAGTTCTTACCTTGTGGGTGTAGAACTGCTAGCACAATGAGAGCCTAAATTTTGATGGTTCCTTATACTTTGAATAACGTGTGAATATTGTTCCTTCCTGGAAACCTTCCTACATGAAGTAAGTAGTTAGATATTCAGCTTTGTGCATAGATACAGGAAAAAAAATATTCCTCTAACAGGGTTTGTAATTACAACAAATTTAACAACGTGGAATGGTTTGTGACTTACCTTAAGGTCTGCATAGTAACCGGTTGTTCAGCCAGCACCAGCTTTTGCTGATGAGGCTGTCATGCTATTCCACTATTTCTTTATGCTGGTAACCATAAAGTGAGGTGTGACTGACTTGAATAACTTCCCAGTTTCAGAGCAGTCCATTTTCCATGGCTACTCATTAGCTCTACGGCACCACTGTCACTACTCTCCAGTGTGTGAAGGTTCTCATCTGTTCTTGCCTGTCCCACTGCTAAGTTACCTGATGTCATTTATCTGTTTCCTGAGTTTCTTTAAAATGAGCTGTGTGACTTTGTGCTGGAGCAGTTTCATACACTCTTAAGTCAAAGCAGCTTCTGTTGTGGTCATATGCCTATGCTTTCTCTCTCTCTTTGCATTTACCAGAAGCCTAAATGTCACTGACTTCTACCAGAATTTGGAATCCTGCACGTTTAAATGCTTTAAAAGAAAAAAAAAAAGAAAAAGGGCTGGCTTTTGGCCTGTAAGGCTCATTGAGAAAATGTGTTTAGTTTGTATTTAAAGCATAAAATCTTGTGGGAAAATAACGAAGCAGGAAGTGTTTTCGTAAGTGTAAAGTTTATAAGTAATAATAACAGAAATGAAGGTTTTGTGGCACTAAACTTTGCTGTTATTCTGATTCAGCTGCAACAACTGGGTTGAAAAAATGTTGGGATGCTTTGTTTCTTCTTTCCTGACTCTCTCTTTTTCATATGAGCTGTTTTGATGTTATAAATTGTACTTGACTAAACTATTGCATTTTCGTATTCTTTTCCCAAATTCCATGAGGCTTATTCGTGGTTCCAACCAGACCAGTGTCCTTTTATTTCAGAGCTGAGAGCGGAGGTTGAAATTATTGAGCAGATGAGTAGCAGCAGTGGAAGCAGCTCATCGGACTCAGAAAGCTCATCTGGAAGCGAAGATGAAAGCTCCAGCAGTGAGGGGGAAGAGCTAGCACATGTTTCCCCTTCCCAGCCACCTCACCAGCAGTATAACAATAGGAATGCTGTTGCTAACGGCACCAGCAGGCCACAAGGAAGCAATCAGCTCATGAGCACGCTCCGTAAGTAAAGCTTCTGTCTTATTACTCTGGAAAGCTGCTTGAGACACTTATCTAGCATGTTAAGCTAGCTCCATGAAGTACAGTTTGCTCAACAGTAATCCCAAAGAGGTGCAGTGGCTGAAGTATGTGGACAGGTGTTTTGTTTTTTTGTAAAAGAAGGCTGAGACGTATCTGAAGCTGTGGAGATTGCTTCAGTCTGGTCTGAAACCTGTGGGCATCGGCATAGTGACCCCTGTTGACCATGTTGAGTCTCGATTCAGGCCTCCAAGTAGAAAGAGTGAACAGCAGAACATTAGTGCAGGTGGACATGGTGCACTGGAGGGTAAGAATTACTGTAATGTGAAAACACGGATTAGGCTTTACGCTGGATCAGGTTCAGTGGACTTAAAATACTGCATTTATAAGAAACCATAACTTATTTATCATAATTTATTTTAAATTTCTCCTGAGGCATGTTTGAGTACATCTCTTGCAATCCACAAAAAGGGAACTGGTAGAGTTCAAATGCAGATAAATGTAGGGTTTCCAGCTTCAGGACAAGTTTAGGTATTATACAGATGATACTGAAAAGGCTTGCTGGTAAACTGGCAAAGGCAGACAGTGTTCCTGACAGTAGCGAATGCCTGAGGTAACACTTGGGTGAAATCCAAAGTTCAGCAAAGTCAGCAGGATTCCTTCCATGTCCCTGTTTCTGTTGGTGAGCTGCTTCTTCCCTGCTTCTTTTGGGCTGCAATACTGCAGAGGTTACTCCAGAAATCTCTGACCCATGTAGGATTTGGGAGCTGTTCAGGCAGCTCCTCTTTTTTGTGCAATGATTTCTGCCCTGATTAATATTGAGTATTCAATTCACTGGTGACCGTAACTCAAATTTCCCCAGAAGAGGGAAAGAGATGAAGAAATCCAGGGTGTAGCTGTTGCAGGGCTGCTCTGCAGAGGACTTGTGTTTGGGACAGCATCTTGGAAGAGCACCCCTAGGGCTGGGTTCAGTAACCAGAACTCAAGCGTGATTATTGCACGCTTTTACCCCATCCACTTCCCCAGGTTACAAGTGCTCTGCAAGACAGGCTCTAAGACTGTCGCTTTGATCCACTTCCAGTCCTTCCTGTGTTGGATCTCTGCTCTTTGGAGGGCTGCCCTTGGCCTTCCTTAACCTTCATGTCCTGTATCAGCTGATTTCAGCCAGTAGCTTTGAGTTGCAATGGCTCTAACATTATTTCTGGCTTACTGACATGTGGAGACCTTACGTTGGTTACCCATTCTGCCTTAAAACAACAAAGTCTATTTTAATAAGGTCAAGAAAGCCAGTGAGTTCGTCAATGCCTTGTCCCAGAGCTGTATAGAGGAGCTTGGTGGGTGGATGCTGTGGGATGCCTTCTGCAGCTGCTAGCAAAGGGAGTGCTGTCCTCCCGCTGGGGAGCAGATTACGTGGCTACGTCGGACCTGGATCAGGGTGTGTATGAGCCCTGTGCAGTTCTTAATGCTCTTGGGCATGGTGAACAACTCCCTTAAACACAGATGACGTTTGCATTCAGTTATAATGCTTATTTTTATCTTGTGGTGTACATGCGGCTGTACTTTGGTTTGATTGCAATTAAATGTGCCTACCCACTTCTTGTGTTTTGTTGTTTTTGTTTCCCATAGGAAATGACTTGCAGTTGAGTGAATCTGGGAGTGACAGTGATGACTAGAAGCTGAGCTTTTCCTGCTTCTCTTACATATACATGAAGAACTAAATTACCTTGAAGTGATCATATTGCTTACAAAGAGGATCTGGCACAGGAATACTTCCACATGTTGAATTTTAATAGAAGGAATGTGTAACTTTGTAAAATATCAGATGTTGAGGGCTGTTTTACTTTGCAAATTGAGTGTATATTTTGTGTATATTCTTATTCTTTAAAAGCTTTACATAGGTGTGTACAGTGGGGAAGCCAGTATATGCCCCTGTGTTCTTATCTGTTCATTATTTGTAAGCTTAACATGTAACTTCATCATGTCATCCGAAAATTTCTTATTTGTAGGAGATACTCAGTCCATAGTGGAAGATATTCAGCCCATTGTGTCTTTGTTGGGGGGCTTTTGTAATATAGGGTGAGTGCGTGCCAACAATGAGTTAAAAAAAAACAACAACAACCATGCAGAACCTAGAGTGTGCACTGAAGTGGGACTGTTATAAATTAAGCATCAACACTAAGTTGATTTATTTGATTTGGGACTTTTCTAATGTGTTTTTATTGCTATTTATGATTGATTTAAAGGACATACTTTTCAATAGTTGGAAAGGATAAATCATAAAACCATGTTTGTCACAAACCTTGCTGCACCAGTGCCTTATAAGCAGGTCTTTAAATGGAGCTTCCTGCCACCTCTCACATAGGGAGCAATACTGAAACCTCTTCAGATTGCTTTTACAAAGAAGAGCTATATTTCACATACAGGTCAGCTGTGCTCTGAGGGCAGCTACTCTAGCATGATATAGGATATACGTCAGTCACCTGAGCACATCCAAGTAAGATCCAGATCAGCATTTTCTCATGCAAATAAAGCACCTAATTTAAGTCAGACATTTAGTCCTAGAAATACGTAGGAGCATGATTGCCAATGAAATTGCAGTGTCACAAATAGGAGATAATGGACTTGCTGAAATAGTAAGACCCAGAGCCTTGTTTGCAGTTTCCTAAAGGATGCAGAAAGAGGAGACGACGAAGCAACTGTGAAACAGCACGAGCCTTTCTCCCACCACAGCTTCCAGGTAGACTTTAGTCCATACTATTTGTTGGATGTGATCTCCGTGCTTGGCAGAATTACACAAAGCAAGAAATGTTTGCTTACCATGAAATTCACCCCTGTTTAAGGGGGCTTAAAGGGTGCTCAGCTGGATTATCATTAACTTCTTGCTCTGATGGCAATGAGTTCCAGGGCAGCCTCTTAATCTTGAGCACAAGGCTAACTTTTTAAACCCCAAATTCAAGTGATGTAGGCTGAGTGACACTGCAGTTGTGGTGTAATCCAGTTGGAATTAAACTGGATTGGATGCCTCTCCATTCTTTAATGTCTGCTTTGCACTGCTTTTGTCTGATAGTTTGTGTTGTAACTCCTGTTTGTTTACCGAGCTCTTTCCTTTTTTTTTAAGGTATCGAAGAGCAGGGTGTCATTGGAAGGGAGATTTTATTAAATGGTTTATTTTTTTGCATTCGATACATATTTAGGCATATTTTTGCATTACTGTACATAACGTTTAAAAATAATTGTTTTTTTTAAAGTGTTTTATGATGTGGGTACATATTTTAACATACAATTATGAAATATACTTGATGTAAAGCCACAGCTGATGTGATTTGTTTGGGGTTTTTGTTTTTGTTTTTTCTCCTATTCTTCTTCTGTGAGTAAATGTGCTCACAGTATTACTGCTTGTGCTTAAAAGAAAAGCAGCAGTGAGACGTTTTCTTTGCCTCATTCATTGGCTGCACATACACTCTAAAATCCAGGACACGTCATAGGAAGTTTACTAATTATGTATGAATAAAATACGTGGAACTTAAGAGGATAAGACAACAGCGGGCTGCTCTGATTTGAATCACCACTTCAACTGTGGTTTAAATCAGCAAGCAGGAAAGCTTTGTTCGCAGTCAGTTTCTGCCTTGCTTTGTGTTTGTACTCAAGGTCATGGTTTATGGTTGCCTCCCATTTCCTCCCCTCCAACCACAGCAGCATATTTCCATACAGATGCCGATCGCTGCTACATTTCAGCCACCCTTTGTGTCCCCTGGAGGTGTGTTGTGTCAGGATTGCAGCTTGTGAGCATTTCAGCTCCCAGGCTGCGACGAACGGCTCCCATTGGGCTGGCGAGAAACATGGCGGCCCACAGCTTGGTCATGGCTGTAGGGCAGTCCGTGCCTGTGTGGGAGCGGCCTGTCCCCTCCCTCCCGCTATCACAAGTGGCTCCAGGCATCTCCTCCCTGAGAAGCTTTCTAGAACATACCCTGCCCACAGGTACGTGGTGTGTCTGATGGAGGTCAGCCCTGTGGAAACATTGGTGGGCAGCTCGTAGAGCAGAGAAGCCAGCCGTCCCCTCGTTATGTGTCCTTCAATGAACGTCAGTGTTAAAGCTATTGCCAGCCTGATGTTTTGATGGGGCTCCCAAAGTTTGAAGTCTTGTATGCTGAGGAGCCCTGAATGTTACTTCTCTGTTGTTGGTGATTTGCAGCAAGTTCTGTTCGGATGGAAATGGGAATTGAAGTAACTTGCAGAAAAGCAGTTATTTAGAACTCTTTGAGTTAGTTGACTGGGGATATATTTAACAGGCTAGAGAAATAAATGGGCTAAAATACTTTCTGATGAAACCTCTTAATGGAGCAAAGTGTTCCAGATGGTTCTATCTTAGCACTAGCAGGTCTTAGCACCTTAGGCTAATTTTTTACTCGTAAACACTTTTATATGACAATTAGTTTCGATGCGAAAAAACAATGCGTATGGAATGCAATTATCAGAATGAATTGAATCAAAGTAAACACTTCTTCACGTTCATGGGAGAGCTGCCCACTGCCTTTGGTGAGGTCAGCATTAGTCTCTGATGGTTTCTTCCGTTCAGTGTCTTCCACCACTGCAGTGCTTTGACTTGCCTTAAGACTTCACCAGCAAACAGGGCTTGCTCATGACTTTTCCCTTAACTAGAATTGTTTTAGTACTGATAGTCAATAATGATTTAAATTGTAATTTATGACAATCTCCTTGAATCCATACGGTTACTTTTTCATTTCTTTAATGCAAATATAAAAGATTGGCTTGTTGAGAAGAACTAATAGGGGAATCATAGCATTCTTGAGCGTTGCTCAGAATAACTCAGAGGGGTGATGCTCCAATTTTGAGGCATTGTGCCGAGACTGATCTTCACAATTTGCATTTTTACAGACTAGCCATGTGCCTGCTTGTGGTTATGTATAAAATCAGTTTGCTGGGCAAAGCTTTATAGTCTTCTTTCCTCCTTCAAAGTCTATTTACGTGAATAAAAATGAAGTTCAACAATCCATGCATGTATTTCTTTATTTTTTAATTTGCAAACTAAGAGAAATGAAGCCTGGAATTGCATGTAATGGAGAGTACTTATTATCAGTAATCGCCTGATTTTCTCAGATAACAATGAGTGGTGATGTGTTAAATTCTCTTGGTTGTTCAGAGGTTTTTATTACCCTTGTATCCGCAGTCCGTAGGTAGGAAAGGAAAATAAAAGTAGTGTCGGAACAAAAGCTGAGATGCTGGGGAATCATTGGGACAAACGAGTAAATCTGAAGTGGTTGAATGTCAGCGTACTTTGTACAGCCAAATCCTGTCCTGAGGAGATAAGCTGACTGAACCCAGCTCTGGCTTCTATGAGAAGGGCAGACATCAGGAGGCAGCTTTCTACAGTGAGGCTGATGGTGCACTGGCACGGGTTGCCCAGAGAGGAGGTGGGTGCCCCGTTCCTGGAGACACCCAAGGTCGGTCTGATGGGCTCTGAGCACCTGGTGGGGCTGTAGGTGTCCCTGTTCAGCTGGACTAGGTGGTCTTTAAGGACCATCCAATACTATTGATTCCATGTGAGGGGAAAGGCCCTTGAGCTCCTACTACTACTGTGAGGGTGTTCTCTCACTGAGCCTTGGCCTGCGCTAGCTGCATGCATTTAGCATCACTATTATAAGTAAAATTCACCATAAATATTGGAGGCCACTTAAAAACGTCTTGCTAAAGGGATGTGACCAAGAGTTTTGGTGAGACAGTTGATGCTGCTGTTTCATTTAGTACTGCCAGTGGGTTTTGTGTGCCCACACGTGACATTTTGGCCTTTTGTGGGTGGGAGCAGGGGCCAGAACAAGGCTGACTTCTTTTTTTCTGTGTGCTGTTGGATTGCAGTTGGACCGTGTGTTTTAAAACCATTGCTGACTAAATAAATCAGACAAATTAGGGATTTCTTGGCAGGAATCCTGTATATTTGGCTTGAAATCTCATCAAATCTGTAAATTCTGGTACATCTTCTGGTGTCATACAGCAAAATGCACCCGGTGGACTGTACTTTTTGCACTTAAAGTCTTTGGCCAAAGTACTGCCAAATCAGTGCATTGCTGTACCATAACCACCAAGGGCAATGGTTGAAGCTTCCTTAAACACAGCAAAAAAGATGCACTCTTCCAGTTTAGTGTGGGGGTTAGAAATGTTCAGATTTTCTTTTGTATAAACAAGGCTGTGATTCCAGCTACTTTAACAACACTTGAAACTTTCTAAACAACTGCTGAAAACTGGCTTTCTAAGTCACAGATGTGCCATATTTTCAAAAGTAACCATGTCTGACTTCCAAGGAGACCGTACTGACAACCTAGAGCAAATACATTTGCAACTGACTGTTGCAGCCTGCCAGCAGGAGAAGGGTCTTACGCGTGGTATCAGCTTTGGGATTAGCTCTGAGAAGCCTGGATCTTCTGGCCTCAGGCTCCATTTGTGAGTCCACGGGTGTCATCTGAAGAGAGCAGGTTAGGAAAATGTTGACACTCAGAGAAGCACGGGCTCCTGATTCATTTGGGAACTCTTGGACATCTCTCTCTGTTTCTCTTGAGTAGCATTTCCATTCAGAAGATTAATTTGCATGCATTTTTGAATCCTCACCATTCCCTCTGTGATTTTAATTCTCTTGAACTTTTGTGAAAACAGTTCTTTCCATGGGCATCCATGTGCAAACCACCCTATATGAGGCACAGTTTTGCATGGCCTGATCTGTAGGAAAGCTTTCCCTGCACGTTGTAAATAAGAAGCAATTTTTCACTTCCACACAACCACAGCCAACCTCTGAACTCTACCAAGACCCCTTTGTAACTTGGGGGGTTGTTGGCTTTTTCTTCCACAGCTACGACCCCTCCTTAGCATTTTCCTACTGCCACCCTTTATAACCCTTGACAAAAACAACCAAGCTCGTGTTCAGTCGTGGCCTTAAGACAAAGGAGATCCCCACATCCCACTGGAGGATACTGATTGAACCTGGCCTCCAGAGCATTTACTTCCAGAAAGAGTCCTATAGTAACCCTGGTTTACTGCACATTAGTTTCTTCAGGTTAATGCAAAAGCATGGCTGTCCAACCTGCTGGCTTGCCTGCACTGCACTGAGTGAGGAGGAATTCTTTTGGGCCGAATATACGTAGGGTTCTCCAAAAGTAATGCCTCCTATTTATTTCCATGGAAATTACAACAGATAAAAGAAGTATAATAATTCTACTTGTGTCTTGGTTTCAGTCAGCACAGTGTTAATAGCACACTGCTGTGTAGTTGTTGTTGGGTGAGCCACTGCCATGATGGCAAGGGGCAGCTGCAGGGTGGGCTGGGCCAGGCTGCACTTGGGACATGGCTGGGATAAAGTTTAAAGTGCTTTATACACTGGGAACAGCACCCAGTTTCTTTCTGTGCTACTGAGGCTGAAGGCAGCATCATAAAAAGGCAGGTGTCAAGAAAATGAAGTCTTTAATTAGATATTAGCTAGTCAAGAGACTGGGTTTTGCAGTTAATGAATCCAGCCCATCCACTCACTTTCCAAATGCCATCAGGAGACTCTACGGTGCAGTAAATACGCTACAGCTGTGCCTGTGCTGGTGAGCAGTACAGCCTGGAAATGGGTCCATAATGCAGGAGGCTGCTGAGTTTGCACTGTTCACACCATGTGCCTTTCATACGAGAGGAATCCACTCTGTGAGCCCTTTCCGTGATGCAAACCAGAGCACAGTGAGTGGAGATGGCTGGGGCATTCACTGTGTAAGTGCTCTCTAACACTGAGCCAGCCCCTCTGTGAAAATACCAGGAGAAGAAGCACATTAAAAAATGCTGCTGGATCCCAGGAGCACAACATTAAACTTTATAGCCATGGTATTAGTAGATGAATCATGCTGAATAATAACACATGATTAAATAGCTGAGAAACTCCTATTTTCACAAATGTTAAAGCATGAACAACATTCCTGTGGAATGCACATGAATCTCCATCTGACTGTTATGTGAGATGTAAAGTGACTGCACCAAATCCAAAGGAAGGATCCAGAGGCAGAGCTACAACCAGGCCGGACACATATTTTCTCACCCCATCCTGACCTCACATGTCTGACATTAGCCTAGGGCTTGCCATTTGCAGGGATTGCAGATAAATGCTGGATGCTTTGTGCTTTCAGCAGCTCTGGCTGCATTACATGGGAAAACAGATACCTTTACTAAGGGGTGCCTGCCTTAGAACCATGGAATCACAGAATATTCTGAGCTGAACCATTGAGTCCAATCTTGGCTCCACACAGCACCATCCAAAACCCAAACCCAATGTCTGAGAGCACTGTCCAAATGCTCCCTGAGCTCTGGCACTCAGTGCCGTGCCCACAGCCCTGGGCAGGCTGTTCCATGCCCACCACACTCTGGCACAGACCCTGTCCCTCACCCCCAGCTGCCCCTCTCCTGGCACAGCTCCATTCTCTTGTGTCTGGTCGCTGTCACACAGAGCAGAGCTCAGCGCTGCCCCTCCACTCCCTGTGAGGAGCTGCAGCTGCCATCAGGCCTCCCCTCAGCTCTGCCGCTCTGTGCTGAGCAAACACAGGGAGCTCAGCCGCTCCTCACCTTGCCCTCCAGAGCCTTCTCCATCTCTATAGCCTCCTTTGGATGCTGTCCATTAGCTGTATTTGCCCTTTGTGTCTTCACCCATCCAGTGTGACAGCGGTCACTGCTAGCACTCCATCATTTCCTATGACTGTGTCCCAGTGCTGCAGTGACAGAAGCCCACGCTGCCGATGTCGGTGTGGGCCCTACTGCCAGAGCAGCTGTGAGAGGAGCTTGTGCCCAAGCCTGGGTCAGTGTCTGTGCCTGCTATAAGGTCCTATGGTACAACATAGCAGATACAGCCTTAGCCGTGTCAGTTTACACCAGCGCTCGTATTGATGGGTTATTTCCTCTGTAGATAATACAGTCAATTTTCCTTTACTTCTGCCTTTAGAAAGAATGTAAATTACCACAGTTAAAATCACTGGGCCTTGTAAAAACCTGCCTGTGCCCAGAAAACCAAGCGTCGGAGCTTGCCTGGAGCTGAGGAAGAAGTGGCATCTTTTTCAATAAATTTACATCTCTAAATAGATGATAAGTGTTGAATCAATTTCCATATGTTTAAAATAGCAGAGCATTAAGTATTCTGGCACTTCAAGCAATCAGCTAATTTGGGACTATTATGAGAGTATCTTTTACACCAGAGGAGCAATTCATCTGCAAATCAGGAACAGTCTGCATCTCTGTGCCCTTTCAGTACAATAAAGGACAGCAAATTGTCAAGAAATCCTATTTGTTTGTCTGAAGAGTCTATGGTGTGTTATGATATTCAGGTCTTCACAAAATCAAACATTTCACCTCTTAATAAAGCAAGTGATAACACACCCCCATTTGCCAACGCAGGCTGCACAGGTCCATTGATAAGCAATGATGAAAGTGTAGCCAATGATACGTGAGAGCAATGCAGGTATGTGCTTCCTGATGAAGGCAGCAGGAGCTGAGCCATGCCAGCCTCTTTGCACAAGGCAGTGTGTGAAGGCAGATGCTGCCTGCTTTCTCCACCCTTACCCCCAGGCTGCCCACATCCAGCTGGTTGGCTCCGAGCGCAGCTCACAGTTCTCCGCTCCTGCCGGCACATCTATAGCTGAGATGAAAGAAATATTGTTTTCCAAAGGTCACTGAGCATTAAAGGTGTATGCAGCCTGTGCTCCAGAAAGCGAGGAAAGTGAACATCTTCTGGAATCAGCCGGCCTTTTTGATCTGGATGAAGTAGGATGCAGATCTCATGATGGACTTCAAAAGCCAGATTGTCACGGAGTTGACTAGATCAATCCATGACACAGATTAAAGGGGAGATGGATGGAAATATCTTCAGAACTTCCAGTGAAGTGATCCACAGTGTCATCCAGTTTGCTGAGTACCTAAATATTTCCACATTGCATTCCAGCATGCTGCTCACAGGTGCAATGTGCCATGCATTCCGTAGATGCACAGC